CAGACAAGCCTTATCAGCTGATGATTATTGTGACTCCTTTGTTTTCTGTTAGTCAGATATTTTTACAGGCCAGTTTGACCTCTGCTGACAAGAAAACTGGTAGTGCTTCTAACTCGGTGTTTCTCTGTCTTGGGTATCAGGAACTTTTAAGAATCTTGGAGTTAACCAAAGTGGAGCTTCTGAGCAGTTGGGAGAAAGCAGAAAAGTTGAATGGCAACGGAGGGTGCATCTGCATAATAGTCATGCAGCATCATGAATTAATGTAGCTAGAAGTATAGAGATGGTGGGAGAGAGAGAACACTGACATGGAAGAGAGCGAGACACACACACACACACACACACACACACACACACAGAGAGAGCATTTATTTCTATTATTTTATATTCTGGATTGGAGAACCTGTGACCTTCCAGACATTGCTAAATTGTAACCAAATGTATGTAGGTTTATATTTTGGGACTACTGTAGAGTTCCAAGACAACTTGGCAACTTCCATCAGTCCTAGCCTGCAGAATCAGTAGTGAGGCATGGTGGGAGCTGCAGTCCAACAACATCTGAAGGATTTTGTATTCTCCAAGACCCCATACACTTACACTACAAAAATGGAAATGCTATTTTAGGAGTAGCTATTTTGATTCCTTAATAACAGGTGTATCCGAGACACGTCCTTCCTCCAGCTACTCTTGTGAACTTTCTAACTCCTGTTGATGATTCTCCGTAGCATTCTCAGAGCTACATTGTGTTATTTGGCTCTTCCTGCAAAGGTCTCTCTCTCTCTCTTTCTCTTTCCCTGTGTACTGTCTCTCAAGGTTACAGTACTTGCTCATTTATCTGTTTCAAAGCTTGTTTGAATAAACGTCATCCCCTTTGGTGCATCCAAAGCTGAGCCTCTCTTCTAAGAAATCTGAAGTTGACTGTCTTTACCCTTCCTCTGCAGGGTACCTTGGCCCTGTCCAGTTTGCAAACAGAGGTTCTGGGGTAAATGAAACAACCGACGTCTCTTGTGTTGGTGCGTTTGGCAAAGAATTGTCTCCAGAGGGCTCTGAGGCCAAACAGCTGAAGAGAGCAATTCCTTTCCCTTCTGGCTTGCCCTAGTCTTGGGAAAAGATTTTCTCTTGCTCCCATCTTGGGCATAGGATAGTTATGGATGGAGGAAATCCTGTTATACGTGCAAGGCTTTTGTCTGTCTTGCTCTCTCAGAGTATGACTGACACTCCATTTTGGTTTCTCCTGCTTAGCAGAGATCGGAGACAGAAGAGTAATACTAAATAAGAATACTTACACTGAGTAACAGAATGAGTTTGTGTGTGTGTGTGTGTGTTTACATTAGCATCAGACAGACAGGTATATGGGGGTATGACTGCCCAGTATTACAATCCTAGATACTTGTTTGACATCACCTGCCAGCATCTAGATTTTAAGTCTTTGAAAACACTTAGGTTTTTGTGTGTGGTTGTTTTCAAATTGAACCGGAGGAGTAAAAAGCCTCCTCAGCTGGCCTGTCATGATGGCAGTTCTTGTTTAGTCTACAGAATCTTTTATTCTTATAGGTTTAACTTGTTGACGCCTCGGTTCTCTCCAGCCCTCAGGCAGTCATGGTTTATCTGGTTTGAGTGGCTTGAGAGGAAGCGAAAGAATGAGCTTCTCCTTGTTTTTCCACCAAGCCAAACCTCTGACCTACTCCAGCTCACTGAGACAGCTAAGGATGAAGCTGCCAAGTTCTGATGGTTGTTGTGGGTTTTTCGGGCTCTTTGGCCGTGTTCTGAAGGTTGTTCTTCCTGACGTTTCGCCAGTCTCTGTGGGCCGGCATCTTCAGAGGACTGGATTAGGAACTCTGTCCAAGTTCTGCTTCCCACAAATGTTTACTTTCTGTAGCTGTGTGAAAATAAAGATCACTGGATCTTTAGGGAAAGAATTGGTATCATTTCCGAAAGTTTGATTGTCATTTGACAGAATTAGACTGAATCAAAGCTGCCCTGCTTTTTTTGTTGAAGTCAGTTCTCTGTGGGGATTTGTAGGTCACGTACAATTATCAGCACTTCCTGTTTTAGGATTTCTTCCAGGGTAGGGGTCCCCAACCCCCAGTCCGCAGATTGGTCCCAGTCTGTGGCCTTGACAGGACTGGGCCGTGGAGACAGATCTCCTGCCCCCTGCATGCACAGATGCACGCACGCCCCCCACGCACACATAGACACATGCATGGCCCACACATGCATACACACACACTCCCCACGCACACACGCATGCCCCCACATGCATGCACGGACTCCCCTCCCCATGCATGGTCAGCCGACACGCCTCCCCGCACACAGACATATTCCTGCATGCATACACACATGCACAGGTCTCCCCTCACGTGCAGTTTAAACCGGTCCGTGGTGTTAAAAAGGTTGGGGACCACTGTTCTAGGGTACCTGAATAAAAGCTTCCCATTTCTTCTTTAGGATCTGTTGTTGAAGCATAGACTTGGATGATGGCTATATTGATTGGCTTTGAAAGAAGTTCGATATTATTCAGTCAGACTTCCATAGCATGCAATTGGTTGTGCTGTACGTTGCCCCACTGTTGGAGGCTTACAGTGCCTTCAGAGTTTGTCATTTCCGAGAGTAATATGTTTTGTAATTATCTGACTGAAAATGTCCTTCTACAGTCTATTTTGCTTCGCTCACATCAAGCACTACAAAATGTTCATTAATATACCAGAGATTTTTCTAAAAAATATTTCCTTGTGAATGTTGTATGGGGTGGGGGACTTTCAGGTTTACTTCGGGGGGGGGAACCTGTACTATCCCCTCTTACTTCAGTAAATAAAATTTACCGAAACAAAACAGACACCCCTACCACCCAGTTAATAGCTAAGTGTGCCTGGCCCTCCGTGCTTGGAGGGCTTCATCCCTTGTGCAGAACCATTGACTCTGGCAGCAGGCTGACACATAAAGAAGACTGTAGGCAAGGGCTGAAAGAACACATTCTGAAAGAACTGGCTGGAATCCCCAGTGACTGTTGTTGCTACACTTGATGCCAAGCCCTACTGCAAATTAAAAATGATGCCCAGACTGCATTTTTCTGCTTGGGCTTTTAAAATACCTAATTGTTTTAGTTTGTCCTTGGTTAAAAAAAAATCCCCCAGGATTGCTCACTGAAAAATGTGAAAAAAGTTTGTAGATCTTTTAGACCTCTCGAAGTCAGTGGTGCTTACTTCTGAGTAGGCATGCTGTTAATTTCCCCTTCTTCTGTTCACAGGAGCATGTCTCCTCCAGAGGAAAACAAGAGGCTCTGGAGCAAGGCAAAGTGGGGTGGAGGGCGAGGGACTGAGAAGTGAGGCACACCCTCTCACTAAGCAGGCACAGGAAGTTGGTACACATTAAAAAGAGGGTGTGTGCTGCTATCAGGTTTGTGCCTGTTTGCTGCCAACCCACAGTAAATGCCTTTGCTGCAGATTATTGCAGAGATGTAGTTCCAGCCAAGGACTGTTACACCACTGACCCATGTGTTCATCAGAGGTGAACTTATAAGAGAAATTGGCTTTTTAGGAAATACCCATGGCTTTTAAAAGGGCAGTAAAACAACAATTTCAAGGGAATTGGTCTATTACAAAATGTTTTCAGGGACATTGATTCATTTGAGTAAAAGAGCAACAACCCCATAATGTCAACTGGTCCATAACCATGTCTTCCTTAAGACCAAAAAAAATAAGTTACAAATTAATCAACAAACTTTGTGGAGAGTTTTCTTCAGGTGAGATGCTACACTGAAGAAAAAGAACAAAAAGTGCAAGGTATTCTGCGACATGTTAGAAAATTCTTAGTGGGCAACTATGATGGGATTTTAAAAATGCTGAAAACTGAATTTGGGAATAAAACAGAACCTTCCAAAAGAAGTGGCTTCTATGCCTGTTTTGCAATCAATCACGAGGGGTGTGTGTGTAATGACATGACCCTTTATGTATAGCCCTTGAAAAGCTCCACATTGCTGGTAGAAAAAGCCTAAAAATAGATTGTTGTATCTCTGGAAGCCTCTAGGAGATGTGACAGTCTGTTTTTTATTGAGAAGCTGCAGAATTCAGTCCATTTGGGGAGCGGTGCATTTTCCCTTTAACCTTACAATGAGCTGCTCAGTTGCGTAACTCCTTCATCTAATGGCACAAATAGAGCTCCTGTATTCTAATGTTACAAAGGATCATTAAAATGGCAACAGCATTTTCTGGCAGAATATAGGAGAGAAGAAGTATCCATTTTGATTGTTCTTTCAGTTGCTGGCTGATCTTCCATAAACTACATTTCCCTTTCTCTGTCTTACCTGTTTTATGACCCCAGATGTAGTAGCAGGTTCTCAAACTCTCTCAAGAAGCAAAAGCGGTTAAAATGGGATTATTGTACTTTGAGCATATCACGAGAAGGCAAGATTTAATGGAAAACCTGACAATGCTAGGAAAAGTGGAAGGCAGTAGAATAGGAAGGAGACTTGACACGAGATGGATTGATGCCATAGAGGAAGTCTTGGCCTTTAGTTTGCAAGACCTGAGTGAAGTTGTTAACGATAGGACCTTTTGGAGGTCATGGACTCACAGGATCGTCTTAAGTCAGAAGTGACTGGATGGGATATAACACAAGAGTAATAGTGCTCTGTTATGTCTGTTTCATTGACACCTGTTGTATAAAAGGGTCTAAATGGAGTGGGAGATCTTTGGGCCCTCTAAATGGTGTAGAACCACAGCTCTAAATATCCCTCATCATCTTCCAGGTTGTCAGGGGCCAAAGGAAAAAGGAATCCAGCAATATCAGAAGGGCCATGGGTTCTCCATCGCTACTGTGAATGTACTTACTTGTCACCTCTGCCTGTCCAGAGATGTGTGTGTGAAATCTATTAGCTTGATTTTGTGTATTATTATTATTATTGTTATTGTTATTGTTATTATTGTTATTGTTATTATTGTTATTATTGTTGTTGTTGTTATTATTATTGTAATGGCTAATGTGTGTTGCTTTCTATATTCTAGGTGAGGCTGGTGCAAATATAATTCATGTCTCCAAAGAAGCACGGAAGAGGTTTCTTGGCCCTTTGCATCCTTCCTTCAACCTGGTGAAAATCATCCGTAACTGCCTATACAAGACTCTGCCAGACAATGCGCATGAGGTGGCCAGTGGCCACTTGGGCATCTCTCTGACGCGCGTTTCTGATGGAGAGAATGTTATACTGTCAGAGTTTAGCACTAAAGAGGAGCTTATTCAGGCAAGTAATAGCATTCTGACTTCCCTCTAATAGTGTCGCGTGCAAAGCTGTGGTTCCTAACCACTCGTGACTGGAAGGTTTGATCTAACGATGCATTCACAAGAGATCTCTATTAAGAAGCTGTGACTTGTATTGTATTGGGCACAGTTCTACCATGTTTTGGGAATTTTTAGCACCCCACACCACCAATTTAAAAAGTTTGCCACTAGAGGGTAAAATGAGCTTTTTTTAGGGGGGAGAGGGGAAAGGGGAAAAATTGGGTTGGTGTGTGTACAGTGGGGTCTCGACTTAAGAACCTAATCCGTATTGGAAGGTGGTTCGTAGGTCGAAAAGTTCGTAGGTCGAATTTGCATTTCCCATAGAAATGCATTGAAAACCATTTAATCCGTATCTGCTCTTTTCCGTTCATAGAAACTAATGGGAAGCTGCTATTCTGCCTTCTACCACTAGAGGGGGATATTTTTCTTTTTTTCCCTTAGGTTCAGGAAAGGAGGGGGGAGGCAGGGAACAGTTTGCAAAGCACTTTTGAAACGAAGCCAATTTTAAAGCATGTTTTAAAACATGTTGTGCTAAATTTTTCAGCACAAAGACACACAGGCAGGCTTTTTAGGTGCTGAGCAACCCTCCCCAAGCCTCTTCAGAGCCAGCCAATCAGCTGGGCACCCCCACGCAGGAGCGGGGGGGGAAGCACAAAATGCCTGCCAGGCTCCCTTCTGGGTGTCGGCTTTTAGCTGTTTCCTGCTGTTTGGGGGCTACCAAGGCCTGGTATGTGACTTTCTTTTATTTATTTTTAAGTTTCTGACCCTTTTTTCCCCTCCAGAAGCCTCTAAGGGGAGGGAGGGGGCACTTTTTTTCCTGTTCGTAATTCAAGGGAAGTTCGTATGTCAAGTCCTTATTTCCCCTATAGGGCAGGTTCGTAAGTTGAATTGTTCGCAAGTAGGGTCGTTCGTAAGTCGAGACCCCACTGTATAAGGATATGGCTCTGAAAGCTATGTACTCTGCCTGAGAAACTTCCACTCATTGTGTGTGTGTGTGGTTTTTTCTTCTTTTTTACAGGCCTGTGTCTGCAGTGCTTTCATCCCAGTATACTGTGGTCTGATCCCTCCAAGTCTTCAAGGAGTGGTAGGTAGGGCACTGGGGACTTCTGGGTATTTTGCCCTGTTTTTCATGTAAGCTCAAGGAGGAAGGAAGAGCTATCAAAGCTCTGAAGAGACTATATGATTTTCCTAATGTGCGGACATTTAAGATTTGAGCTCAAACCCCACTTAAGTATGTTTGGATTTTAACAGAATGGAACCAAAATCAGTTGCTCCCAAGTCTTATTTTTCTGCACCTGATTAAGGATTTTGAATGGTGTCAGACAGATACCTACCATGATTGCTACCAAGAAGTGTCAAGAAGATTGCAAATATAAACTGCAGTGATAAGCCACCTATTTCAGTGGCAAAAACACAAACAAAAAACCTTGTCTGGGGCTTTGGAGTTAGAAAAGCACCACATGCACAGTCAAGTTGTAATTCTTCATATTAGCCTGCGAGCCTTTTTAGGTGCATTTAGCCCACTGTTTGATCCACTGTTTAGGGATGGGCTGGTTTGTTCCTTTTAATACAATCACATGACATAATTGCTGGAGCAAACTATCCCTTTCATGGAGCATTTCTGTCTCCATCTTTCTGGACCTTTGTCATGGGCTCTACATTTTTTGTGCAGGTACTCTCACTCCATTGTGGTTAAAAAAAAAAACTTCTTCCTAGAAGCTGGAAGAGGTAGGAGGGGGATTTTTCCCCCTTTTCTTTTGACTTGTTTTAAAGGTCAGGTTGAGAAACTGTCCACAGCCAAATGCCAAGTACTGTCCAGTACTGGATTTGGCTGCAGAACCCAACATTTAAGAAAAGTTACAAAGAAACGAGCAAAAAAATCCCCCTCCTTGCCTTCTCCTATCTCTTTCCACTTCTGGGAGGAAGTTTTCTACTTTTTATGTTTTTTAAATAAGTGATGCAGTGCATCAGTACTGCCTTAATCAAGTCAGATTTTTTTTCATTCCCTTTGCACTTCCTTGGAGGAGAGGAAATGTTTAATTTACCAATATTATGAAGTGGTTGTTTTCTTAAGTGACTTTACGATGTGAGAAATTCCCAGTGGAAGGAGCCTGACCAAATAGTCGCTTGAGGTGCGATATGCCATTTGGATGTTTGGATCATACCAAATGACATACTTGACCGCTATCCAGCTCCAAGCAACCCTGTTTGGCCAGCACCAGCCTGCTCCAAAAGAGCCTATGTAGACAAGGCCTTTGTAATTCTTCAGCATGCCAGAGCAGAGATGAAGATTTACTGTTTGGGGACTTTAGGGAGAACCCGTCCGTATTGCATCTGAGCTCCTTCTCTGGCTTTGCCAAAGGGAGCAACTGGGTCACTTCTTATGCCTTCCATGGAGCAAGTTGTATTTAAAGTACCTGGATCTTCCAATCTCTCCCATGGCAGGTGCAAGAGTTGGTGCTCCTGCAAACAGCATTTATGTTGACCTTTCAAAGGTTCACATTCATTCTCATCCTTACAAGGTCATCCATATAATTTATCCACAAGTCACAAATGGAGGAATGAAGCTGCTGGAATCCACCTTGAAACATACTTCCTGGTTCATATTCCAGTTCCTTAACTTGCTACGCTGTACCAATTCTTAGGTGACTTTTCAGATGTTGTTGAACTCCATTTCCCAGAAGCCCTAGCAGCCCAGCCGCTGGCAGGAAACCTGACAAGAAATCATAGGAGGAGTTGTTTGTCAGCATCAAGAAAGCTGCAGGTGCCACAACTATCCTTTCAGGGTTGTATAAAAGAGACTTTGTGATGTGCCCTTTGCCTTTCCAGGAAGCAGGAAAGGATGATTAATGGAAGAAGCCTCAATGCAGAATTTCAGATTCATAATGAAACAGGCCATCATGCAGATAGGCACATGCACCAAGGTTAAAACCAGCCCTTTGTATTGGGCCCAGAAAGCAATTGGCAACCAGCGCAGGTTGTTTGGTCTCCAGGCAAAACGTGTTCTTGATACCGTGCAGCAGTTAGCTGCTTTTGCACCAGTTGAAGAGTAGTCCAGTGTCCAGTGCATTGTGGGAGTCAAGATGCTATGTAACTAAGGCTGACTTGGGCAACTGTTGCCAAAACATCTTGAATCAGTGCTTCAAGGCTAAAGGGCCCCCACCATCTTACTAAGTGGAGTACTGTATGTTCTGCGTTGCTCTTTACCTGCCTTCCTCCCCCTACTCCCATTTCATGACTGCATATTAAAGTAGAGGAACACCTAATGGGATGTGAAAGAAAGAAAAAAGAGGAAAGCAGGGCTGATTTTATTGCCAGGGGCACAGGAGGTGAACTTTATCAGTATTTGTTGACTTTGTGTGTAGTAGCTAGAGCTGGACCCATTGAAACTAGCTGAGGTAGAGGAATGTGCTGAGCTTTCTGGAACAAGCTTGAAAGGAGAAAGGCTACAAGGCCTTGGTTTCTGGAAAACACTTTGTCCTTCTCCTGACTCCAGCCAGTCTGCTTCTGCTCCAGGGTGAACTTTATTCTGTTTTCTGAGGGTGGTGCAGGCTAGCAGATAAATGATGACAAATGACTCTTCTTGGCTCCAAAGCACTGCTGTGCAGGGGAAACAGGTGCTGCTGGTTTCTTTTCCTAGTAGGAGTGGCAGGTTGTCAACTGAATCCCTCAGTCCTCAACCTTTTTTCCACTGGTTAGAGACCCATTTCATCAATATTAATTGGGAAGTAACTATTTTGTTGCCCTCAGAACACCTGGCTTGTGTTGTGTTATGTGTCACATTATGTTACTATGTTATCCCTATTATTAATGAATAGCCTCCTTTTTATTAGCCAGAATTCGGTTCACTACACACACTGGTGTTAACTTTGGTATAAATTTCGGAAGTGAATTGCTGCAATTTAGGAATGTAGGCCTCTACTGTTGCATATCAATTGCGTGACTCCATATGTGGTAACAAATGCTTATGCAGACTTCATGACTTATGGCAATTCGTTTATGAAGTTTACACAAATGAAGTTACACAGGCATAAATATGTAATAAGATTGTGGCGGTCACTGGAAATTAGTGACAAAAGGTGCAAGCTTTCATTATTGCAATGAGCACATGTCCTCCCCCATCTCCAGGATCATCCGTACAACAGGGTATAATTTTGCTTTTCACAATATCTCCTCTTCGCCTATTGATCTTCTCAATGGCATTGGTCTGCTGAAAAGGTCACAGTGGCAACATCTGAAGGTCTGGTGTCACACTGGTAGTGTCAACTGCTTAAATTCGGCATTAAATACAAACAGGATCTCAGCAATGGAAATGAGATTCCATGGCCCATGAACCACCTTTGGCACATACTGTCTGTATATGGCACATAGGAGGATTAGTCCCCTGCAGACATACAAGCTTGTTAGTACATTGTGGCTACGATAGAAAAAGGACATTCAGTGTAGTTGCCCCACCCCATTCCTTTTTTGGAATAGGTTGCCCCTCGAATTGGCATGTGGCAATGATTGTGCATTTTAAGCACGTGCTAAAAGTAGGGCTATATATACATATCCATATGTAATGAGAATATTTCATGTCATTTTAATATTATTTGTACTTGGACATGGCCTCTTTTTTCATTTGGCCTACACTTTTGCTAAGCTGTATATACAGCTGCTTTATTAAATGTTTATCTCTGGTGAGTGGTGTACCATGCAAGTGAAGGTGGCAGTCTCATTTCTGCAGTTGTATTTTCTCGTGTCCCCATGAACAGCAAAAATTGAAAATTGAGTAGTGGTGGTGGTGGTTGTTAGGGGAATGGAGTGCAGGGCTGTCTTTAGATATGAGAGATCCTTCAGTCCCCAAATGATTCCTGTGTAGATGGTAGTGATCTGGCTTTGCACTGTTTTTCTGCAGCCATGTTCTAGGCATTAGTCTTTTTTAAAAGATGCAAACAAGCTAGCACATTAATTAGTAGCACTGCAAATGAGAGCACTGCCTAATGTCTGTCAGTCCTATTGCAGCCTCTCCTTGAGCTCTTCTGCTAATGTCACTGGAACTGAGGCTTGTCCAGCCACTGCCCATCCCAGGCCATAAGGCAGTACATTGGAGGAGAGGGCAGGCAGACTTCGGGTATCTTTGAGAAGCCCAGTGGGACTCATTCAGATGTAATGACCGACACTGGCTTGTTATGAGAACAAGCTGCAGTTTGGAAGCTTTTGCTTCATTTTGGACCAACCGCAGTCAAGTGTTGGGTCCATCCCAGACAAGGTGCAATTAACATGGATTAAAGATTGCTGAAAACAATCAAGTTCAAATTATGCTGGCACAACATAAAATGATGCCAGGATAAATATGCCAGGTGTTGTGCCCAGCAACATGGAAATGCACTGTGTAATTGCACAATCAGTCCTCGGCACACCCAACTGCACCATGCACTGGTGGAAGTGTTTTGGGGGACAGCAGCCCTGCTTCAGTGCTGGCACAGCTACTGGGGAGGCAGCCTCAAGCAATGTGCATGTATTTGTGCAATAGGATTTGCACCTGGCTTGTTTCAGCTAACAGTCGTGAAGGTTAACCACCGGAATCAGATTTAGACACAACTGTGACTGACAGGACTAGAGGACAAAAGGTTTTGATTTCACCCTTGTGACAGTAGTGACACAGAGAGGGGACCAAGGATCCTGCGTATATATGCTAGGCTTTGTTTATCACTGGGATAATACTGGGGGATGAGCTCATCCTTCTGCCTTGGTGGTATATCTGCATGTCTTTGTGGAAAAGAGTATCATGTTGTTGAATTCCACTGCTGCGGTCTGGAAACTTCCAGGGAAGGTCAGCACAAACTGTTTGTTCCCTTCTAGAAAGTACGTGAAAGGCCAGTGATACAGAGCCATAAATTTATTTCTCTGCTGCTCTTGTTACATAATAATGTTCACAATGACAGCTGTGAACTGGCTATGCCTTGTTTCACAGAAGTCACTCTACCCTGGACGTATTTTTAATTTCAGAAAAAAATTCGGAGCAACCAAATCTTGCATTCTGCCCTTTAGACTAAACATACTTCTGCAGATACACCTGAGGCCTGCAGCTGACAACAAGGCATAGGAAGAGGCATTTCTTCATAATACTTGGGCAGTTTCATTGGTCTGATCGACAAAAAATCACAGAATCAAGGTAGGGCCAGGGAGATACGCAGGAGAAGAGCCCAGTTCTTTAGAATTCTTGCTAGTCCCGTGGACTGTGCTTCCTAACCTAGCAAGTGCTAAGTGATATCATTACATCTGCAACTGCTTATAAACATTAAAAAAATCTAGGAGGGCAGAACACATTAGAAATACATATATGTTTTAAAAATCACACTAACATTGTCTTTAATTCTCTGTCTTCCCAGAGGTATGTCGATGGAGGGATTTCAGACAACCTGCCACAGTATGAACTGAAGAACACTATCACGGTATCTCCCTTCTCGGGCGAGAGTGATATCTGTCCACGGGACAGTTCCACAAATATCCATGAGCTCAGGGTGACCAATACCAGCATTCAGTTCAATCTGCGCAACCTCTACCGCCTCTCGAAGGCCCTGTTCCCACCAGAGCCTCAGGTGAGAGCCCAGGATGACTCTGAAGAGACAGGAGCTTCATTTGTGGGGATTTTGTTTTGTTTTACATTGGTATGGCAGCTTCTACTGCCAAGGACGTTCGTTTGAAGATTTCCCCTTGCAAGACCCTTAGGAAATGTTTTATTGAGAAGATAGCTATGAACGATTGCAATTTCATCGCCTCCATGAAGCATTTTAACACACTAGGAAATGCAGATAGGCATGCTTTGTGTTTACTTGGAAGATCCACTATATTTAAAGCGGTTTACTCGTATGTAAATGTAGATAGGAATGTAGCCACCTAAAATGCTTAGCTTGCTAAAAGCTATGAAAAGAGAAACTACCTGGTCATACTAGCTCCTTAGCACATACGTAGTCTGGCAGAAAATTTAAAGGCTCGAGGTCCTCTGAGCAGTGGAAATAATAAACCTGAAAGCATGTGATCTGGTCAGCCATTTTGGAAAAAATTTAAACTCCAAGAAGCTGTTGCTTTGACTAAATGCAAAAGACAAATGTCTAACCTACGTGGCTTGCTCACCTCCTCATTCCTTCCCCACTTCTCCTATATGTATTGACACTCAAAGTAAATGTTTTTCCTACACAAGATTTACTCTCTCACAGACATCTCTGTGGGATGAAGTGGCAAAGGTAAATTGGATTTTACACACTTTATTTGATGTGCTGTCAGTTTTTTGTGACAGCAAAACTTGGAGCCGCAAAGGTAGAGCAACAGCCCTGTCCTCCAACAGTGCCTCAGTGTTGTCATGCCATCTGAAAGTTGGGCATATAGAATTTCATGAATAGCTACACAATTTCTTTTTAGAAGCAAGCAACAAAATCACTGAAAATCACAGGAGTCATAAGCCAATGTGCCTTATGTGACCTGAACATACACACTTATTCTTGAGAAGGTGCCAAGGAGTAACATAAACTTTCCTGGCCTTGTGATTAATCCATCTTACTGTTTAAAAAAAGCAGGAGCAGGGAGAGAATCTTTCATAAGCCTTTGAAAGTCTTGCAGTACTACTGTAGGATGGAATTATTGTGCTGGAACAGCATGAACAACTCTTGACAATATACAGTGAGAAATTGTAAAGTTTGTTTTGGGAATACCTGTGAATTATATGTGACTGATGTTGCTTGTTTCTTCTTTACTTAACTTGGAACATGTGGTTATTTTATCTGCAGTTTAGTTAATAAATATTTCAGGTAGTAATTCTATGTCAACGAGTGGAGACCTTCATGAGTGGAAAGAGGAGGAGAACCATTTTTGCAGATTCTCCCCTTTTTGCTACATAGCCCTACTCAGAAGAGAGGCAGGTGAATAGCTGGCAGAATCTGTTTTGTTTTTTATTAGAGCCCAGAGACACACCAATTCACACCATGTACATCAGACAGTTTCTTTACCTCCTTTTGCTTCCTATTGCATCAAAGTATGGCTTAGAACTATTTGCTGGATTAAACAATTGCCACAGTGCTCAATAAAATAAAGAAACATTTTGACTAAGTGATGATGTTCGACTAATTTTGCCTTTCATGGGCCTAAGCACTAAGGTTTATTCATAGATCTGTCTCCAGCTGATGTCACACATGCTGCCATTTAAGCACTACAAATGTCCATGGGTATTTGCTTTTCTGTCCCCAACATATTACTGTCCTAGAATACATAGTTGGGATGGACATGATGGTAAATGAAAATGAACAGAGCACAGAGTGCTACTTCTGTCCTCTGAAGATGTCGGCCACAGAGACTGGCGAAACGTTAGGAAGAACAACCTTCATAACTCGGCCAAAGAGCCCGAAAAACCCACAACAACCATTAGATCCTGGCCGTGAAAGCCTTCATGAATACATTGAAAAGGAACCCTTCTTGACTGTCTTAATTGCAGCATTTTAATATAGGCTGACATCATCATGTTCTGTCTTCCATCCATGCAGGTTCTGCGGGACATGTGCAAGCAGGGATACAAAGATGCTTTGCATTTCTTGAAGAAGAATGGTAAGTGATTCCTTAAAGCTATGTGCCTTTTATTGCTGCATTCTCTAAAACAAACCTTCTTCAATCCAGTCCCCTGGGGGTTGGACTGGAACTGCCATCATCCTCACCCTATCCATCCTTAGTTGCTCTGTCTACCCAGATATGCAGTCCTTGCAGTGAGAAAAACATGCAAAACAAGTAGTCCCTTTTAACAAGGATGATACCTGCTTTTAAGTACGTTTTCAAAATTCAGATAACTTTTTTCCACTAGGCAATATAGAAGGATAATTCTACAACAGGTATCTGTCAATAAAATCAACTAAGGGTATAGATATTTCATTTCCCTGTGGGTCATCTTCCTTTTTTCTACTTAATAAGAAAGGTTCTAACTAACTCATGGTTCTGCTTTCCATTGTTGGCACCAAGCTATTAGAAAAAAGTCAAGTTGTAAAGTCAAGCTTTTTTTCCCTGCATTTCAGTAAGTACAACAATGGATGCCATGAACTGAAAGTGCTGCAGGTGAAAAGGAAAAGGGAAAAAAATGCTTGCTTTACACTGGACTTTCCTTTAAAAAACACACACATCCTGCTCAGCTAGTTTAAAGAAAGAGAAAGAAACCTTGCGGAAGGGCTTTGCTCTCGGTTCTTGGTGACTTTTCTGCATTGGTTCAAGCAATCACATGCTTGAACAGATGGAAATTGACTCCTACTTTTAAAAAGTAGAAGCTTCACTAGCAGAGCAAAACATTATGGATTTAGGCAGGGGAGCTCTGGGCAGATTAGCATTTCCCTTTGTGTCATGTGATCAAAGGAAGAAATGTGGATCAGCTTGCCCCAAATCCATAGGATTTCCTGCATTTCTTCCCCTGAATCTGGATCGAAGTGAATTTAGTCTATTTAGTATTCCATCTTCATCCAAAGGTATCTAAACGGCAATGGTGTTGGGTGGTCTAAGATGGGGCCTTTTCTTCCTTCAATGTTTCCTTAATGTCCTATTTTATTCCTATTGCTGTTACGTAGTTTGGTGATAGCTGGCTGGATAGCTTAGTGAGGAGGGGTTGGGAGTATGATTCCCCACACTGCGCTTCCTGGGAGAAGAGCCAGCCTGTGTGGCTTTGGGCATGGTACACGATACCAGAACACCCCCAGAAGGAGAGAATGATACATCATTTCTGAGTTCTCTATGCTGAGAAAACCCTGTGGACAGTCACCCCATGTCAGGATTGCCTCAATGACAAATTATTATCATTATTTAGTCTGCCAGTGCTGTGGTCGTAGACTATTGTTTGTGTCTCTGGTGTCACCTTGTGGTGTATTGCCAACAGTGCACCAGTTTTTTCCACAGATTTTTTTGTTTGTTTCTTTTCCCTGACAATTCATGTGTTATGAATCATCAGTCATGTACCAAGACTGATGAAGATCCACACACTTTGGAATTAAGGGGTGGCATAGAGAAACTACATTCAGAATTGACTGCATGATATCTAAATATCAAAAGTTGCAATGTAATGTAATATCTAAAGTTAACCAAGATACAAAGATGTTTTCGCATTATCTCTTGTGTGTATCTGTGGCTTCATAGTTCTATCTTAAGTCCAAGGTCATGTTGCAGAATGTACAGAAGTGACTCACCCAAGATAAATCATGGGCAGAGTTTTCAGAACTACTGTACACCAAACTGTAGATCTGAATGATTCATACATCTTATAAAAATCTCAATCCAGAGCACAGAGTGCTGTCCTCTGAAGATGCCGCCACAAAGACTGGCAAAACGTTAGGAAGAACAACCTTCAGAACACGGCCAAAGAGCCCAAAAACCCACAACAACCATTAGATCCCGGCCATGAAAGCCTTCGCGAATACACTCAATACTTTTGCTGAATAATGTTTCTAGCTTTCAGGTGGCAGGCAGGAAGTAGTCTCCAAATGCTACAATATATTTATTGAACACAACATGTTATCATGTAGCTGGCCCGCTTGTCTTGCATTAGAGCATGGAAGGTCAAAATGAGGGCCTCCAGATATTTGTAGACTGCTGTTCCCATTAGCATTTATCAATCTGGCCAGTGGTGAGGATTGCTGTTCTACCAACACCACTTTGCCAATATCTGTGCTAGAGTGTATTCAGCTATCTGACATGCCTTGATGGTCATTTTTTCCTCCTGCTTTTTTACACAAAGAGGCTGAAATCCCATTGCTTAGCAAAGTTGCAAGTAGAGGAGGCCCATATGAATCAGTAGAGCTTAAGGAGGAGTTGATTCACCAAAATCCCCATTTATTCAATAGAGCATTCCTAACCCCCCCTATTCCTTAAAAGCGCAGAGAAGGAAGGTCTTTCTCTGAGCACAGAAAAACAAGAGGGAGAGGGCCAACCTGGCTTCTCAGGGCATTGCATTACAAAGCCTGGGAGCAGCCACTGAGAAGGCCCTCTCTTGTCTCCTCAAAAAACAAGCTTGGGAAGTGATGGAACTGAGAGAAGGGCTTCCCTAGAAGACCTTAAGAGCCAAGAAGGCTCATATGGGGTTAAATAGTCCATCAAATAACCTGGACCTAAGCCATAGAGGGCTTTCGAGACAATAACCAGCACTTTGAATTGAGCCTAGAAATAGTCTGGTACCCAATGAAATGGTTGTAGGAAGGAAGTTGGAGGCTTCGTCTAACCAGCGCTAGTCGCAGCATTTTGAACCAGCTGGAACCAAACAAAATTTAGATACTTTAAAATGTTTTTAAATATTTTTCAAAAAATTGTTTTTAATCTTGACCAGTGTTTTTTTTTTTCAATATATGATTTTGTATGGTATTTTTAACTTGTTGTATGGTTTTAATTGTTGTGAGCCACCTTGGGTGCCCTGGATGGGGGTGGATGGGTGGGTGGGTAGAAGCCAACATATAAACAAAATAAATAAAACAGGATATCACCCAGTATCTGGTGATGAAACCTTCAAGGAAGTGGTCTCTTCTTGTGATTTCTACTTTTTCCAAGTAGAAGGTAGTGAAGAAATTTTATCCCCAAGTGTATAAAGCTTTTTAAATTGAATCTCAACAATTCTGCAACTTGCCTTCCGTTCCCAGGCCTCCTTCACCACCCGAGACCCACCCGCCCTCTCCTCGCCATCAGAAATGAGGAGGAAGAGAGAGATCATGAAGGAGAAGAAGAGGATCAACTGAGAGAGAACACTGCATTGGCAGAGGCTGAAGAACACATTCTTGAACACTTGCCTCCTAAATTAAACCAAGGTAAGATCACTTCTTGGAAGCTGCTGACACAGAGTTTGCTGTTCTGCTTGACCCTTGGCTCTCCATGTTAAGTCAACATTCCTTTCAATTCCACTCTTCTGCCGTGGTATCCGAAACAGGAGTCACGTGGATATGTGTACCTCAGGTTATACCTGGAGCTGTGGTTGGGAGTCATAAGTACACACTCTTGCACCTGTTGAGCATCTAAACTAGTGTTAGAACTGTGACTATCCTAGGATCGTGCTAATAACATTTTCATATCTCTCTAAAGCGGAACTGACTTAAAAGATAGAGACCTTCTAGAGTGGGGTGGACCCTTTTGTAAACAGACAGGGGCTTCCTTTGCCTTACCCGTTCAGGGCAAAAGGAACAACAGTGGTATATTTAGCTGATTCGTATGAGCTGAATGAAATCTGTGTTTATTTTCCTTGCCTTTTGGACAGATGTTTCAGGCTAAGTCTTTCTACAAGAGAGTTTAGTTTTGGTCACTGGTTTCACCTCTTAAAATTTGATAGCTGGTGATCTGTGATTTTTCTCTCTGAATTGGTCACTTGAATAATCCATTTTCTCCATCTTTAGCCCTTTTGGAAGCCTGTGCTGAGAGGAGAGGACTGTTCTCTGGTATTGCTAACCTCTTGCCAGTACGCTTGGCATCCACCTTGATGCTTCCGTATACGCTTCCTCTAGAGTCTGCTGTTTCATTCACTGTCAGGTAGGTTCCATAGCTGTTTTTCAGGCCCTTGCTGGTAGGACTCAAGACTGTGATACAGACTGCTATGCTAGCAGGAGAGGTGCCAAAGGATGCAGGGATGGGCAACGTGCAGGATGCTTATTGGGACTCTCTGATATTTTCTCATTTTTATAGAAAAAAAGTAAATCTTCATTTTCTCATGGAAGCCTGTGCAAGAAGTGTTTTTCCCTCCCTGAACCCACAAAGCAAAACTCAGAATAGATGTCCAGTCATTCCTGTTTTGATTTTTTCAGTAATTGTATTTTCAGGGATACTAAAAACTTGTATTGGGTCCTGAAGTGGGAGACTGTCCCCTAGACCCCAGAACTTCCCCACCTCTAGAAATCAAGCAAGAGTCAAATCCATTCCCAGCAAGGCATTGTTTATGAGCCAATGGTCCCCCATTGTGTTGATTAATAATATGGAACCAAGCTCTGAGGCATAGTTGGACTAATGCAGACATGACTCCAGAATTTGGCATCCTGAGATTTCACTCCCTCTCTCTCTCTCCCTCCCCCTCCCCCTCTCCCTCCTCACTGGCAATTAATGAATCCCAACTTGGATTTGGAGTCATGTGTTAAGCCAGGAGGCAGCTGTGCACCTAGAAATCCAAGTGGGGAATTCATTAATTCTAGCAGGAAGCTGCTACAAGTTACGGAATTTGCCTTACCTGCATGTAACTACACAACTGGTTTCTGGTCATTACTGTATGTCTTTATGACAGTAAAAAGGTTCAAAGGAGATTGAAAAGGTTTTCTGCTAGTTGAGAGTGAAACATAACTCTTCACCCTGTCCAGGGATTTTCCAGTTCATGCAAAATCCAGGTGTCGGTGATACAGTATTTGCTTACTGCAAAGGAGAATATTTAATTGTTTTAGAGAGCAGAGAAAGAGCATATTGCCCTAGTTGTTATATTACATCATTCTGTTTTATGTAAGTAATGTAAAAACAATAATGTATGCTACCTGTTCATCCACAATAATCTTTAAAGCAGTTTATATATGGTCAAAAGAATAAAACAGTTTAACACCAGCAAAACTAGCAGCAAGAGAAAAATAAACAGCGGGCATTATACAAAAACCAGACAGCAAGCTTCCAAACCCAACTATCCAGCAGCTACCACAAACTCTGTAAGCATAGATTAGAAAAGGACCTTTATTAATGAAATGTTCATGATTGAGAGAAGCAAAAATAAACTGAAGTGATATATATGTTTATTTGCATACTTCTAAAAATTGACATGAGATCACGGCGTCAAAGAACCGTTTTTAGCTGAAAAGTTCCATGAGCAAATCAAAGGGTATAGGAAGACATATAATGGCACAATGAAGGTCTACCCTTGTTTTTCCCACCCAGCTGAGAAAAAGCTTTTTGTGTCTGCTTTTAAAAAACTCTAATGTACATTCCTGCAAAGTTGTGTTGGAATTACTTCTGCTGTCCTAGACAGTTGTGTGTTACTTCACTGAGAATACTGCAGCCACATAGGCAGGGCAATTATGTGGGTGTTTTCCATCCAGTCGTCTACCTGCTAGGAGGACAAAGGATAATAACTCCCGTTCCTGGAGAGATCTAATCTCGCCACGGTGACACAAGTCTTAGTCACATCCTGGATGCATTACTGTAATGGGCTCTACGTGGAGCTGCCCGTGGAAAGTGTCAGGAGACTTCAGCAGGTCCAAAATGCAGCAACCAGATTGCTACGTAGGGCTGGTTATAGAGACCACATCACTCCCCTGTTACAGCAACTCCACTGGCTACCAATCAGAGACCACATCACTCCCCTGTTACAGTAACTCCACTGGCTACCAACCCATTTCCAGGCAGAATTCAAAATGGTGGTCCTAACCTATAAAGTTCTGAAGGGCTTGGGCCAAGCTATCTCAAGGACTACCTCTCCCTTTATGAGCCTGCTCAAGTTTTAAGATTGTCAAGGGAGGCCTTTCTCTCGGTCCTGCCACCTTCACAGGTGCATTTGGTAGGTACACAGGAAAGGGTGTTTTCTGTTGCTGCTCTTGAACTCTGGAACTCCCTTATGTTGGTCCTAACCTATAAAGTTCTGAAGGGCTTGGGCCAAGCTATCTCAAGGACTACCTCTCCCTTTATGAGCCTGCTCAAGTTTTAAGATTGTCAAGGGAGGCCTTTCTCTCGGTCCTGCCACCTTCACAGGTGCATTTGGTAGGTACACAGGAAAGGGTGTTTTCTGTTGCTGCTCTTGAACTCTGGAACTCCCTTCCACAGGAGGCCAGCTTAGCCCCAGATTTACTGTCCTTCTGCAAGCAGACAAAATCCTTTTTTTTTGGGCAGGCTTTCCCTTAGTGAGTGGCTGTCTTAGTAAGGTTTATAAATGGATTGTTGAACGTTACTGCTTTGAATGTGTTGGGGTGTTACTTATGTTTTTAGTGTTTTTATCCTCACTGTTGTTGGCTTTAACCACTGTCTTTTAATAATATTAGTCATCTTGGGTCCTTCTTAAGGGGAAAGGCAGGATAAAAATACGATGCAAACAAATTTCAGTGTGCGCTTTCATGGATTGCAGTCCTGTTCTTCACACACTTGCACTTTTGTCTTTGTTGTTGCTGAAACAGACTAACACAGCTCCTCTGTGTAAATTACTTTAAAAGCATTTCTCAAGCCACTTGAACATGACTTGGAGCAGAAAGACCAAGACTATCAGTGCTGCCATGTTGTGACAGGTATAATGGTGCATAACTGCCACTGCCTGAGACAGCTGTGCCTCAGAATATAAGTACTTGGGGAACAGTGGGGAAGGCCAGCAGTGCTCAGGCTTGGCCTGTGGACTTCCCACAGACTTCTAATTGGAAATCCAATTCAACACGGAGGGAGGTAGGATGCTGAACTACAGAGTTTTTTGATCTGATCCAGCAGGGCTGCTGTTGAGTGCATACATATCATCCGCATTTTGGAATGGCTGTTTCCTCAGGCAAAGTTAAGCTTTGGTGTAGCTGGTACGTTCTTTCATGCCTGCAGGGGCAGCAATAACTGTTCTGGGTTAGCAGCTGCTCTTGGGTTAACAGTTTTCCTTTGTGTTCTCTGTTTTCTTTAGATTGCTTGAATGGCTGCCAGATGTTCCGGAGGATATCAGGTGGATGAAAGAGCAGACTAGGAAAGTCTGCCACTATCTCATGAGAAAAGCCAAGAAGAAACTAGGGAGTCATCTTTCAGCCAGGTATGAGGATTGGCTTATATCTTCTATGTTCTGGAAATGTCCGAACATTGGGAGGGACATGCAAAACTGCCATATAATTGATGCCATAAAAAATGGTGAATTATGAGACTTTGAGCTCAGGCCTGTCTGTGCTTACACAGATTTTTTTTTTCCTTTGGACTCTTTCGTCCAAATGTGTATACTTAAGACAGCTGGCCTAGAGGTACCACCTTAGTTTTGTGAGCACACATAAAAGAAATTAGTCCTTCCCATTCAGGAAGATTTAAGTATGGGTGCGCTTGGATAACAATGCAAGCAAATCTGTGATGCACTTCATTTTAAAAGTCTGCATTTAACACCAAACAGCTGAAAACCAAACCTCACACTTCCTCCCAAAAAGTAGCTAAAGTCCTCTACGTATTGTACATTCTTAATACAGGAGTGACTCTGCAGGTTTACAGAGATGAAAGAACAGAAGCCTGATTTGTATGTATTGCGTGTCTGAAAGAACTATCTTGTTGGATCAAGTTTAAAACCAAAATACTTAGCAATTACAAATAATTCTTTGTTAAATTGTTCTCTGAAAAGTACAGAAGGTGGGTATATCTGTCATAAAGTTGAAAAAAAAAACCCACCCAGAAACTTGAGGCATTCACCCCTCCACTCTTGAAACAAGAATTATTGTAAATTCACACAGTACAGGGTTTGTTTGTGTTTTTGTCTATGTTATGTTGAAGTATGCATCTTGCAGCCTGTGAGCTGCACACACAGAATGCCAAGTGCTGCAATCCATCGGTAGCATTTTAAAAAAATTACTCAAAAGGTCCCTTTGCATCCTCGAGTGCAAGTCACATTTTATCACTTTCCCTCCCCCAAGCTATTTTAAGCCTGGGGTGTGTGACTTTTCCCACAACCGTCACTTTTTTGAGACTTGCAGGTCAGCCCTCTTCTGCAGCATGTGGGCATGTACAGTCCCTGGGCCTCTGGCAGTTGCTGAATCCTGAGCTCTATAAACCTTCCTGGATAGGTGTTCATATACGTAAAAATGTGTGGACTCCATGTAATGGAAGTAGATCCTAGTTCAGGTGATAACCATTTCCTTGGAGGTCATCCATGAACTCTTGCTACTTATTTCAGTTGCTAGAGGTCCAATAAAAGGTATCACCCATTCTTGCATTTGGATTGCCGAAACAGCTTTCTCCTGCCCTGTGGACTTCCAGTTCACAATTCAATTTCTGAAGACAAAGGCATACCCAGCGAATCTCAGAGGGATGATTTGCATAGACCAGTGTGGACAAGCTTTCGGAACTGTCATTGGATGTTGCTTTCTAAGGCCTACCTTTAGTTGTTAGTCCCAACCAGCCCTGACCTGTTCAGTGGATGGGACTTGTTAATACTTACATTAAGTTCCATTAATACAGTGGGTCTGGTCTAGTTGGGACCAACAACAATGGATTTAACTTAAATATTCACAGTATATAGCATACATGTAAACACCCATATGCTTTGGTGGCACTACCAAAATATGACACCATCGTGAATGTTTTTCTCCTTTTTTAAAAAAAAAAGTTATATTTTGGATTTGACAATAGACTATTGTAAGATGAACTGGTGGTTGACCCATTTTATCTTCCCCACAGTTCACTAGCCCTTATTTGGTGGTGGTATTGAGAGGATGGATTCCATTCTGTCCGTGAACCATCTCTTTCACAGAGCAGTCCCCGTTTTTGGTGGCCTGTGGTGTTCTCACTTGTACACCTGCCTCCCTTTCTCAGACTCAGTGAAACTCAGCAGTCTGGTGATCATCAGCCTGGGGACTCTGGAGGCTCCAAGTTTCCTCTGAACCTAATTCAGCTCAAGTGGCTCTTTCTGATCATGGCCCAATGACGGGACTAGCAGAGGGCAGGACTAGGATAGCCAGGGTGCCAAAGGTCAGTATTGAGGCATGCAGGGAGGACATGGCCACTGCCTACCTGCGCCTTTGCAGCCACTCTAGCTTGTCCTGCTGACTTCTTTATGCCATCATAACAGTTTAGGGTACTGATATGATGCTAAGGGGAAATTGTGACGGGCTTTGTTTGATCTCCTCCTCAACTTGACTGTATTCTCTCTCTTGCTCCCACTTCCTTTCTCCCCCTCCCACCCTTCTCTCTCCTTCTTCCCCAGCCTCGCCTCTTCTCCTTCTCTTTTCAAACTTCTGTTTCCTTCTTCTAGATTGGGACTCTCCTGTGTGTTGAACGTTGCACATACGTACAGATTGATTAACTCTTCCCTCCCCCCTTTCTTCCTCTCAGGCTTTACTATCATCTAGAACTGAGAAAGACCCAAAGTTTGCCTCTGCCCTTGAACATCGGCTATGGGGAGGCACTGCCCAAGTGGTTGCGGAACAACCTCTCCCTGACGGATGTTATGACGAAATGGGAAGAGTACCAGCGCCAGCTGATGCTGGGGCTGTTCTGCATCAACGTGGACCTGCAGGCTTCTATCTTCCCCTTGGAAGGGCTCCAGATGAGACACCCACCGCCAGACTGCACGCAAGAGAGCCTTGATCTCTTCTGAGATTCACCCATGTGTTTGGGCAAGGGGAAAGGAGGGTGGGCGTTGCATTTCAACAGCCTCCTATTGGAGCTCAAAACACCTACAAATGGGATTCTTTGCAAGTGACTCGCACACTACTAGAACCTATCAAAACAAGATGGGTGTATTGAGCAATCCTGGAAATGAGGATGTCTGTAGGATACCTGGCAATTGCAGCACACGTGATTGGTATCTTGGCTGAACTGGGAAAAGTTTCATTTTGGGGACCTCTAGGAGGCATAACCTTGAACTTTTGCTGTTCCTTAGGATTGGGACATAATCAGTGCTCTGCCATTTTTGTTTGTCTGTTTTTAACCTTTGTTTTAAATCAGTATTGTAAAATGTTTTTTGTTTTCAAAGATTTTAGTCTTCTAGGATCTTTTCTTTCTGTGCAATGGAACAAGTTTTTTTTTAAAGGCAACCTAGAATTATTCAATGTCACATGAGCTTTTGAAACCAAGGCAGACCCTGGTTTTCAGCTCTCAGCAGAGGCAACTTGTAAGGCCCACCCATGATTCTTGTGCAAAATGATGTGGGTGCTGCTTCATGTAATACTAGATGCTAAGAATGCAGAACTGTTAAACCAACCCCCTCTGCTGCTAGGGTTTCTTGCTTTGTCAGACTTTCCCTGTTGTAAGGGATGTTGTACTGGGGAACAAAGGACAAAAAATTAGAAGCTGCTATGTATGATTGCTAAAACTGCGTCTGCTCTGCTGTCTGTTTAGATATTGGCTGAAATCCTGTTGTGTAAGTTATACTGCATAAGGCTGATCATGTCATTAACCACAGGAATTTTTCAGGAGTGAAACATTTCTGATTTCTTCCTCAAAGGTCCTGAGGTTCCCATGGAATCTCTTCCATCATTGCAAAGCTTTTGGGAGCTGGACAATGATGGAGGGAGTTTTTAATTACCAAAATTCACCACTGTTGGTAAAATCATTCTACTGGTTCCAATTTTCAGTAGTTAAAAACTTTGGAGAGAAATTTGAAGTGTTTTATTTGAAAAAAAAAAAGCGGTGGCAGGTGACATCATTGGCCATGCGCAGCATAATTTACAGCAACAGGACTTTAGTGGTTGATAATATTTTTCTCTTCTTTTTTTACAAAAAAATCCAATGCCTGTTGGATGCTTTGTTTTTCTTCTGTGATGCAATTTTAAGTTAGTTCTGTTAAGTCTCATCATGTATAGTCATAAAGAGAATGGAAAGAAGGATGGGAAAAGAAGCCAGGAGCTAAGACAGCTAATGTATGTTTCAGAATGGTTTGTGAGTATTTGATTATGTGAAACTGATCATGCAAGGAGAAGGGGTTTGGTTACATTTGCAAAGGAGCATCAGGCAGTTGCGATCTGGAGGGCAAAATCAACACAAACAGGTTTAACTTTGTCTGTGGCTCTGTACCTGCTTGTGCCATCATTGAATTTAGGCCCTTTTGGAAGAAACTGAGAGACCCAAAAGAGCTTTTATTGTCATACGCACTGCAGTGAAATATGGGTAAGTAAGGAGGATCTAAATCTGAGGATCCCAGACTGGGCAACAGGAGGGTCAGAGATGGTTTATAAGTCAGAGGCACTCAATGAAATGTGCATCCTTCTTTGCATTCTCTGGATCAGGCATGAGCAGAGTATGGCCATCCAGTTGTTGCTTGATGACATTACCAGTGGCTGTGCTGCCTAGGGTTGATTGGATTTACTGTCCAACAACATCTGGAGAATGCTGTACATGTTAAACCAGCAACACTGAACTCACATTTTATTGAAATAACAAAACATAGGAGTGTATGCCTGTAGGTTAACCTGGAGATATTTTTCAACCTACTATAGTTAGTTGATGAAGCCAGAAAGGTGTTTAACTATTTGCCAGGTTCCAAAAGTTTCCAGAGTTGAAAATCTGGTTCATGATGGCAATGTTCTCGCCAATAACCCCCTTTGTTGAAAATTTGCTAAAGGTGAAACACTCCATGCAATAGAACATGTCCTGCCAGCTGTGTAGAGTCCCCTTTTCCCATCGCGCCGTATCACATTGTGATGTAGCTACACAAATTGTCACCAGCACTGAACTTCTTTCTCTTGTGTTTCACTGCTGTTGCCTTGGTCCTGCTACTGTGTAATATGGCAAAGATGTACGGTGACCACAGTGCAAGCAGGGTCTCCTTTCATATAGCAAGACTGTTGCTATCTCTCTTCCCCACCTGTCCCCATTGGAATCTGGATATATAGTGTTCCTCTTTTTGTCCCTGTTGTAATGTTTTAGAACAAAAGCATGCATCTTATGCTACTGGCTTATTGATCTATCTGTACTTGTGCGGGGAGGGGATGGTCATTTTCCTTGAATCAGCTACTTATTTTTTCTCTTTTACCACCATCAGCTTGGTGGAGATACCAAAGACAACACAATGGACGGGGTGAAAGAAAGAGATGCTTTAGTACTTACTTCAATATTAATCGTAGTGGATTTTTGGTGCCAAGGGAGAATAAAAGAATGGATGTAGCTGGGCACACATACTTCACTATATAGTGTGGATTTGTGTTTGTGTGTGCCAAAGTAGGTAAAATGTGACTTGCTGTACAGCTGAGTTACATGCAGCTCTCTGTTAGCAAGGACCAATGAGGTACCCCTGCTCGTTTGTTTTGATTTTCAGTTGTGTATAAAATGGGAATTATTATCCTGTGGCTGCAACCAAGACCACACTAATTAGGAGTGCAAAACCTGCTGGTAGCCAGATGCCTAGGACAGCTATTATCCAACTCACAGCATTTCAGAAAAAAATACTTTAATCTGTTGAATGTTCACAGTGGTGATGCTGTTAAATTATTCACTGCAGAAAGCAATCTTTCAGCCTTTAATAGGGTGCTTGCATAGTATGCTTTTGGGTCCAAATCAATTTTGTTAACATTTTTTAAAAACAAGTAATACGAAAAATTAGAGCACTTAGTTAAGAAGCTTTTGTGATTAAGCAGGATGGGAGTGGTGAGGGGTTAGCCCTGTGGCCAATTGAACAGTCATTCTCCTATACTTTTATGTAAACACTCTGGGTGGCAAGGAGTTCTAAGCAAATATTTGCTTTAGTTTGGACAGCTATATAAAGTTGTAGAAGACCCGTGTCTCCCTCCACAGAATCTAACTCTGGCTTCTGGGATCTCTGCTGACCTTAAATAAATTAGTTAGGATTTACTATTAAGAATATTTCTGCCAGAGGATGTGCCTTTTAAAATCATCTGCTGGATCTTTTAAAAAAATCACCCACAACTAGATCTTCAGGAGAAACAAGGAAAGCTCTTGGCATTTTAATTTGAGATGTGGTCGGAATTTCTGTTTGGAGAAAGAAACACTGGTCAAAGTGTTGCTCAGTTCTATACAAAACTTGTATATAAGTGACTGCGGAATAGTTGAAGGATTAAAAATACAGGCAATGGTTGGCCTGTATTGGTTAGTCTGTGTCCCTGCGTCCATCTGTTCTTCATCACAAAGATCTCTATGCAGAAGGGCCCTTGTTATGAGTTCCCAAGTAAATTTGGGGTGAAGGGCAAAGATGAAGCCACCTCCTATCAAGCCTTAGCTCTCCTGTGTGAAGGGCAGTGATTGCTAGATGCTTGCTCCTGTTTGAGTAAATCATTTCTTTGACTCGTCTGCTTACACTACCTTCTTGGGGGGTTAGAGTAATGTTTTGCATCTAGGAAAATAAGGGTTTCCTTTTGCTTTCCCGAGTTTGAGCATATAGCAGTATTTGTTTTTAGTGCTTAGAACATAAACATCGCCTGTTGCCTTTTTAAGAAGACACACAGAGCCTGTGTTTGCATGTGTGTATGTTTAATCAACCACTAAGTTATTCAACACCATATCCTATGTTAAAAATCTGTTGCAGAACAGTATAGATTTTTCTAGTCATCTGCTGCTTAAGACACAATGATTGTACCACTGGGCTTCTGTTTGCTGCTAATATAAGATTGTAATTTAGAAAGAGGGGCCTCTTCTGTAGCAATCTATCTAGCCCAGTGGTCCCCAACCTTGGGCTGCCGGATGTTCCGGGACTTCAACTCCCAGAAATCCTGGCCAGCAGAAGTGGTAGTGAAGGCTTTTGGGAGTTGTAGTCCAAGAACATCTGGAGGCCCAAGGTTGGGGACCACTGATCTAGCCAACTGGAAGAATAACCGGAATAATTTAGTTTCTTCTCTAATCATGCCTAAAGCTTATCAATGCTTATCAATGAGATTAAGAGGCTATGGAAGCTTTGCATAAATAGCAAGGTGCCAGCAAGGCAAAACCACCAGCTACAATGGGGGCGGAGAATCTGGTATGTCAACTTCGGCAAGTTGTTTGAACAAAAACAAACATAGGCGTGAGCCATATGAAGCCTTGTGTGATTTGGCACATAGGTTTACCTCAGATTGCTCAAAGTGAGGAATTGAATTTGATTACACCAGGAGCTCATAGAAAAAGAGCTTGGCTCAAGGAATTGCATGCATCTGCTAGGGTAGCCTTGTATTCAAGTTTCCATAGTGCCTTTTTTCAAAATGCCAAGCACTCCAGCACTTACTGCTCTCACCCTTGTGGCCCCTTTTCTTTTTCTATGTCCTCTGTCTCTGGTTTCCTTTAATTAATTAGCTGCTGCCAGATTGGCCGCCTCCCCGCAGGTGGTGTAGATTATTTGTCTGCTGATGCACTCTGGGCTTTCTTACAAATGACAGGAAATCTAGAGTATCAAAAACAATGAGCTTTAATGGTAGAAAATAACCAACTCTCTTTTGCATTTACCTCAGTTGAGCTGTGAGAACTTCTGTGCACTTCTGTGGAAAGCCTGTGGTGGATCAGTTGTAGCACTTGCTTGCTTGCCTGAAGTCAGAGCACCCAACAGAATTACAGGGGAAACAATGAATTGCATTCACTTGCATTCTAATAGTCACTGCTTAAAAGTTCAGTGTTAATTTTTGTTATGCTTTGCTTCCACCCCATCTCCCAATGTTTTATTGAAAATGTGTTAAGTATTTATTTTGAAAAAAAATATATACCTCTCTAATAAAATACTTTCGGAACATATTGGATGGATACATGAGCTTTTATTTACTTGAACTCCCAGGTTTGGAAGCTGCAGTTAACTGGTGAACTCTACTGGAAATCATGGGTGTTTGATAAAACCAGCAATGTAAAAAACTGCAGTTCTGGCCAAAGCCGTCGGGTTGAAACCAAGGAACTAAGTTTGGTGCTGCCAAGTTTCCTTGTATGTTCCTGCCGTGGGTTTGGGAAGCTGTGGCTCTCCAGCTGTTTTCTCAACTCTAACTCCCTTAGCCAGCCTGGCTTGCTAACTCTCCCAAATTCGCAGGACTCAGCACTACAGTTTGCTCCCATGCCAGGTGACAGCTAAGAGGATGTGATCAACACACACTCCTATTCAAAGATAGATCTTACAGTGATTTTACAGGCACAAGGAGGAGTGTAAGCTTTTATGCTAACTTTCACACAGTTGTCAGCACTCATGAACTTGGAAATGTGTACTTATTTACAGTATTTAAAATATATTTACCCCTCCTTTCTCCTTGAAAAGGACCCAAGGTGGCATACAACAATAAAAGACAATATTTAAAGTTGAAAACAATGAGTATACAATTATGTTTAACATCACGACAATATTTAAAACTACAAACAATGAATAAAGAGGCATGTGTTTCATATTTATTCCTAAATGAAACTCCTATGTGTACTAAGAAGATAACAAAGCCAGGGATACCACCTGGATCAGACACAATTAAGTTTTACTCTTTTTTTTCTCCTGAATCTATATTGCTTTTTGTAAACTAATACATATTTCTGCATTACATTGCTTATCTGTTTTCTAACATTTCTCTCTCTCTCTCTCTGTGGGGTGTGTGTCCATGTAATGGGACCAGTATCTCTAAGCCCTTCTCCAGTGGATCCTGCGGGTCTCAGGACCTTCCCTCAAAGCAAAATTAAGTGTCACTGTGCTTACTATTGTTCAGAAGTAAAGTCTATGCTTTGTGTGCAGAAGAATTCAAATTCAATCCCTGGCCCTTCCACATAAGGTAAAATATGGAAGAAATATTTATTTATTTTTTTAAATTACAGCTTCCAGAATCTGTGGCCATGCTGACTGGGAGGTTCTCGCACTTCTGATGCAAAACTAACTTCCTCCACATGCTTAATTAATGTTGCAAAACAAAGCCACTGACAGTTACTAGATACAACGTTGAAGGAGATGATCAAGCTTAGTATAAGGCAGTTTCATACATATCTTGGAAAAGTTACTGTTGTGGACGACAACTCTCAGAATCTCTCATCTGAAAAGGAAGTTTTCCAGTCACTTATTTCATGTAACACAAGCAAGACGTGATATGTTATGCAAAATAAATACTTATTTGGGAAAAGCAATATAGAGTCAGGTGGAAATGAAAGTTTTTTAAAAAGTGCTGTCCTGATGTAGTTGTTCAAGGCTAGAAAAAAAACTGATTCCAAAGTTGTTCTAAAGATTAGAAAGTGGCACACATCAACTCACACAGGGAACAAGGTCTGTTCACAGTCAATTTCCTTAAGTATCCTGAGTTATAGTTATGAGGACAACTTAAGTGCTTTTGTCCATGCAGAGAGGCACTGATTCTTGTGAGTCTGACTCAGAAATGCAGCTGTAGAGGCAAAAGCTACTGCCACATTACAGCTGTGCCTCCAGGGTCACAGATGGCACCTTCAGGCAGCCTTAGTTAGTTATTTTTATTTATTTGATTGATTGGTTGGTTGGTTGGTTGGTTGGTTGGTTCCTATCCCGCCCATCTAGACCAAAGGTCTACTCTGGACGGTTTACAAATTTAAAAACAATAAAACCAATAAGCATATACTAAATCCAAGATGGGGAAAGTATAAGAAATTAAGATACAGCAGGAGGGAAAACCTGCCAAAATAGCCAAGTTTTAAGTTTGTTCCTGAAAACACCCAGAGAGGGAGCCAGGCAGATCTCCACTGGCAAGTTGTTCTAAAGGCGAGGGGCCACTGCCGAGAAGGCCCAGTTCCTTGTTCTTCCAGACCTCCCTTGGCATTAGGATCCTCAACTGCCTGGCCTGGCTGGAGTGAGTGACCCTGGCAGAACTGGGTGGGAGAAGGCGCTCTGTCAGATATCGAGGTCCTAAACTGTTTAGGGCTTTATATGTAATTGTAAGAACTTTGAAATCAGTGCAGAAATGAATGGGCACCCAATGCACGGCGGCCAGAGTGGGGGAAATAGGGTGGTACTTTTTCACCCCAGTAAGTCTGGCCACCGTATTCTGCACCATCTGAAGTTTTCGCATCAGTCTCAAAGGCAGCCCCATCTAGAGAGCATTACAGTAATCTAATCTTGAGACTATGAGCGCATTGACCAAAGTGGTGAATGCCCCCACATCAAGATAGGGATGCAGCTGGGCAATCCACCGGAGGTGGAAATGTGTGGAACGGACCACTGACGACACCTGGGTCTCCCTGGTGAGTGCTGGGTCCAGATGTACACCCAAACTGCAAGCCTCACTCTTGGTGGCAAGAGTCACCCACTCACCCCCAAAAGAGAGAGAATTTCCCAGACCACTGATGTCTGGTACACCCACCAAAAGGACCTTCGTCTTGCCTGGATTTAGCCGCAGTTCGTTCACCTGCATCCATTGCTGAACAGCCCCCAGGCACCGCTCAAGGGACAAAACAGCATCCACTGATGTTAGAAAAAAGGAGATGTAGAGCCGAGTATCATCAGCGTACCGATGACACGAAACCCCACATCCCCCGATGACCCCTCCCAGTGGCCTCATATAAAGTGGTGCCCTGCTTGACGACAATAATCCATTCCAGGAAAATCGCTGTTAAGCGAAATCGTCATCAAGTGGAAAAAATAAAACCCATTGGAATGCATTGAAAACCGGTCAATGTGTTCCAAGGGGGGAAATACCTCATTGTCCAGCGAAGATCCTCCATAAGGCGGCCATTTTCCAATCCCCGTCTTTCGAACAATCGGTCTGGAAAACAGCGGGGAGCCATTTTGCAAACCGCTGATCAGCTGTTTTAAAATCATCGTCAAGCGAAAAAATGGTTCCCGAAGCAGGGACCGAATCGACGTTAAGTGAAACATAATCGTAAAGCGATTTTGTCATCAAGCGGGGTCATCATCAAGCGGGGCACCACTGTAGGTGTTAAATAGTATGGGAGAGATAATCGAACCCTGTGGAACCCCACAGAGGCTCCACAGGGCTGAGAAATTCTCTCCAATCTGCACTCTCTGGGGATGGTCCTCCAAGAAGGGACGGAGCCAGGCAAAACCCAAGCCACCAATTCCCAACTCAGAGAGCCTCCCCAGAAGGATACCATGGTCAACAGTATCAAAGGCAGCTGCGATATCGAGGAGGACCAGCAAAGACATTTTGCTCCCATCAGCCTCCCTCAATTGGTCATCAAACAGGGCAACCAATGCCATTTCCGTGCTGTGGCACAGCCTGAAGCCCAACTGGAATGGATCCAGGGCATTGGTTTTATCCAGAACAGCCTGCAGCTGGTCAGCCACCACCCTCTCAACTACCTTGCTAAGGAAAGAAACATTGGTGATGGGCCTATAATTACCAATATCATCCGCCACCAAGCTTAGTTTCCTCCTAATGGGCCTAATGAGTGTCTCTCCTGGAGAGACCCATTAATTAATGCCATAGCCCATTTGGTTGTTGTAGGCCTGGCTGCTTTGATTAGCCAGGTTGGGCAAGGTTCAAGGGAGGAGGTGGTGGCATGACAAGGGTCAAGCACTCTGTCCATCATGTCTGATGTCACAGGCTGAAATACATATATCAGTATATCATATGTATATCAGTCAGAAATCTGCTCAGTTTCTCATGCGTGGATCACTTACTGATCAGTCCCCTGTATTCTTTCCCAAGGCCTGCTGCAATGGAAAGACTGGGGCCTGCTCTCCTAAGGGCCAGGCACACTCCCTCGCCAGCAGGGTTAATTTTATCGGGGCTGCAGGCCTTTCGAGAGGCTTCACCACAGAGCTGGTGGAAGGAAAGTGGATATTCAGAGTAAAGCACAGCAGCTTAAAGTGAAAGAGCTGTCCCAGCTCTTCTTTTTAAGTGTGGCCAAAGGTGGTCCTGGACCAGTAAAATGGTGGGAGGGCAGACAAGAAGGAGAGGAAGGGGAGAAGGCATAAGGCCTCTTCAGTGATTCAGTGAACACAGGAGTTGGGGGGAGCGCTAGCCCAGCCCACTCTGTTGTTCCCATGGGGGTAACAGAAAGGCTCTGCTATACATGGACCAAAATCCTCTTCTGTTATTACACCAGCATAACTCTAGCAAGAATAACTTTGGGAGGCAAATTGTCTGAAGTTAACAAATCACAGTAGACGTTCTCTGTTGTGCATTGAGTTAAGTGAGTCGGTAGGCAACTGATAATCTCTGCCGTGATTTCTTCACCTGAGGCAAGTTGCCTGCAGCACTTATGCCATGAGCATTACTCTGGTCTAACTAGGCAAGAAGTTTTTGTGTTTTTTTTTTGCTCATGCAGACCTCCTCTATGGACCAACCCCTGAAACCTCTGGGTTCCCAGTCATTTCCAGAGGCTCTGTGGTTCTCACAGGATCTTCCCTTCAGGCTGTCGAAACAGGCAGGGCCAGAATGGGAAGCCTGACATCTGCAAAGGCAGCAAGACCTATCCATAGCTGCACTGGCAGCTGCAGCAAAACCAGGCACCTCCTCCCATACTTCGAACACATACTACCAATGTCTGCTGTGCCACCTATGCTGAGGGGGTAGGATGTGGCAGATGGTCGCTTTGTTCTTAGTGCAACAGTCCTGTTTTCATGTTTACTCGTAGCCACCCCTGTGCAAGCCATGAGAGGAGGAGGTTTAGGAGCATTCACATGATACTAGCACCACTCGATGGTTTCTGACTCCCATTTTCCACCATCCCCATTATCTACATCTGTAGTTAAAAGCTTTTACCATAGCCTCTCGAGACTGAAGGATGCCCACTAGTTAAAAGCTTACAGAGGCCCCTTGTCAGATGGCCCTTTTCTTCTGTGATCATGGACATTGGGGGAGATCTTTGGGGTTAGACAGCTGAACAGTAATTTTAACCTAGCTTGTTTGGTATTAAATCCTATTTTTTAAAAAAGCAACTTTCTGGTACAGAGCCCGGGGTCTCCATTAAGAAATATGCCTATTTCTTTTCCTCCAGATACTTTGGATTTCAGCTCCCAGAAGCCCTAACATGATCAGTGATAAGGTAACGTGGGGACTGTAGCACAAAAACACCCAAGGGGCCAAAGGTTTTTTATTCTCACTGCAGGTCAGAGGAGCCCAACTTGAGCATTCGGTAGTGGCAACACATCATAGTATTGTCACATTATTTCTCATTGTTTTCTATAGACCACTAGCTACTGAATTCTGCAGAATGAAGTTCCCTCCTATTGGCTGGAATCCAACATCCATACCAGATCAAATACAGCTGCAGGCAGACTTTGATAGAAAAAGAGTGTCTGTGCCTCAGGGGTGTGACGTAATGAGTTTAGAGCTACATTTGGTTCAGAGCTAATCAATGCCATCCGTGTATACATTAGCATATGTGCAAGATGGTAAAAGCAAGGTTCTAGCAGAAATATAAGTGATTCTGTAGATAGAAGACGGGGCAGGACGGTGTCTGTGAACAGGCAAATCCGAATCAAACTCACCCAGATTACAGAAACAGATTATTGAATTGCCATGGATAGGTGGGAGTTAAACAAGCGCATAAGTAGATGGAAATAGGGTACAGGGTGAACATTAAAAAGGACTAAATGAATTGTGTATTGCCAAGTCAATTTCAACTTGCAGCAAACCTTTTTGGAATTTTTTTAGGTAAAGTGTATTGAGAAGTGGTTTACCATTCCCTTCAAGATAAAATGGGAGAATTATCTGCTAGATCTGCTTTGATTTGGATTCCTGCATCGAGCAGGGGGTTGGAGTTGATGGCCCTCGAGGCTCCTTCCAACTCCATTATTCTAGGATTCTTCTGGGGGGGGGCAGCCTGAGACTGTGCAGTTGGCCCAAGGCTAGGCAGGCTGGCTTTAGCACTGTGAGGCACCGTGGGGAATTGAACTCCCAACCTCAACTTAACTCAGTGAGCTACCCAACCAGGCTTTTAAAGTATGGAAGTTAAAAAAATGATTCTTCCTAGTGGATCAGGTCATGTTGGTGATCTGGCCACACTGCTAAAGCAGGCTAGATAATGGCAGCTTCTGGCTTGGAGCTGTCAACTCTGTTTGGAGAGTAGCAGATTTACCACTTGAGCATTTTTGTGTGATCCAGAAAAGCTAACCATAGAAAAACCACCCTGCTAGTGTTCAAGGAGTCTTTTGCTTTTATTTTTGTTAATAATAATTCAATGCCATCAAGCCAATTCTGACTTATGGGGACCCTTTTCAGTTTTTTTTTTCCAGGTGGAGACTACTCAGGTGCTTACCATTCCCTTCTTCTTCTGGGTGGGTGGGTGTGCTTAGGGACTGTGCACCCTTGCCCAAGGCCACTCACTGCGCAGGGCCTCTTCCCCTAGGAAGGGGGAATTCCCAATCTGTGTCTCCACAGCCAGGCACCTAAACCACTGAGCTATCCAGCCAATTCTTTCTTGTTATATATGCTAAAAGAGAGAAAAGGTATCTATTTGAAAAACTAGAACAGAGTTTTTCTCTCTCAAGTTCTGTAAACTTCGGAGAGAGCGGAGGGCATTCTGAAGATTTTTTTAAAAAGCGCACGTAATCTTGGATTGATTTTATCTAGTTAAAAGACGAAAGGCCAGCCCGAATACCTTTTGTTTCAACGAGGCTCCGTCGTCACCACCACCTCTCTTGCTATGGCCTTAGACAAGCATCCCACTGCCAACAGTTTCTCGCTTTTGCGTCATATTGGCTTGGGGAATCGCTTAACTAACAGCTTCAGGGTCTTTTGTCGTTTGCAGTCGTAACGCAGCACCCTTTGTGCCTCTAATGACTTTTAGATTGTTTAATTCGAACAATAAGGGCCCTTCACCCCTTGGGTGATTACGCCCATTTCTGAGGTGCGAGGTTGGCCTCTCTGCTCATCGCCGCGCAGGCACCTACGAAGCAGGGCTCCGGGAACAAAATCATCTGCGAACGTAGCACGGAAGGGCGTTTCTCCGTTGCATGGCTTGAGGGCAACTTTTCATAGAATTGGGTGTGGATAAATCATTAGTTTTGATACCCAATCATTAATTTATCATAGTTAATTAAGAAGATTACAAAAAAACCACGTTCACGTACACCAGGGCGATAACCACACGGTTGAAGGACGATTCTGGTCTCTTTCACCCGCCAGGTCCTGAATCTGAAGCGACTTCGGCCCCAGAAGGCCGTCCACACGCGTGGCGGGGGCGCTCGCGGAATCCCTCCCTCCGTCCCGCGGGACCCGCTCTTGCCACCCTTTCGGCCCCGCAGCTCTCCCGCCCGACGCTCCGTTGCCCCCGTCGCGTGGAAAAAGCCACACATCTTGACGTGGACGGGCCGGCGGGGGAAGC